CCTAGGCGAAGGCACTGGCTGGAAGTAATAGCTTTTCCATATGACGTGGGAATTGTTTGCATGGAGGTACATCTTCTGAGCTGCATTTGGAGTTTTAGGTCTATTTTCTCCCCATCTTCGGATTTCTTGTAATTCTACGCATCTGATTTTATTTTATTTTTTATATTTTTTAAAATTCTTTTTTATTTATTATTACTATTTTTTTGATTGAAGGCGACTGGTGGCTAGATATTTCTTACGCTGTTTATTTTTTGTATTTTTATAAGGCGTTTTATGTCCTTCCTCTAAGCTTTTTGTTAAACACTGCCTGGTTCATTAGTTTCTTAATTATTCAAACCCTGCAGAATCATGCGGCATTGTAGATTATTTGATTCTCTCTTTCTGTTGTCAACGCCGTAAGGTATTCTTAATTAAGTCACGAATTCACGGGTTATTTTTTTTCTGATTTTGGATTGATTTGATACAGCCATTGTTTTCATTGGCATCACTTTGATTACTACTGTTATTATTACCATCGCCTTTATTATCATTATTGTTGCCGTCATCATAATTATCATCACCCTTTATCGGTATTATGATGATGACTAATTTTAAGCGCCATCATGAACATCATCACCATCGCCATGACCATGATCATTATCCATCAACAATTTTGTTATTCTTACCATCATCATTCTTTCTTATTCTCCCTTCTTGCCTCGCGTAATACAGATAACAACCTCTCTTCTCCTGCCGAAGCTCAGCTCAAAGAGGCCATTAAAAGAGTTCTTCAGCTGAGTCCTCCGACGCCCTCCTCGTGTCTCCGTCATCTCGATCCTTATAGATTCGTTTCTATTATGGAATATTTGAGTGTATGCAGTTACCTGGTTATAAAAAGGGCATTTGATAACGTGAACAGCTTACAAAAACGCTTTATCCTCGAAGAACAAAAGAGGTTTCGAGACTTACTGGATGCATTTCATTTATTTTTCATTGATAACTGATATATGATGTAGTGTTTATATATCCGTATCTATCTATCAATAAATCAGTTCATCACAGTCAATCAAACAATTAGTCTATTATCTATCTGTCTATATACATCATGTATCTATCTATTATCTAACTGTCTATATATATCATGTATCTATTATCTATCTGTCTATGTATATCATGTATCTATCTATTATCTATCTGTCCATCTATCTATTTTATCTATCTATCTACCTACCTACCTACCTACCTATCTATCTATCTATCTCTCTATCTATCTATCTATCTATCTATCTATCCATCTATCTATCTATCTATCTATCTATCTATCTATCTATCTATCAATCTATCTATCTCTCTATCTATCTCTCTATCTATCAATCTATCTATCTCTCTATCTATCTCTCTATCTATCAATCTATCTATCTCTCTATCTCTCTATCTATCAACACATCAACCAGCATAAAAAAACGGCTTTGTATGCAGATCATCCAAGAGCCGTAAATTTATGTAAGCTGTTTGCCAAATTTCAGGGAACTGTATAGAATGGGAACATTACAAATTTGCAATACGTATCTGGCATAAATCACAATGTTTTCACCCTTCTATGGGACAGTTCATTGTTCCTGATAGACATAATAACAATAATAGTGATAATGATGATAATAATGATAATGGCAACAATAATGATAATATTAATAACACTAATAATGATAATGACAATAGCAGTAACAATCATAATAATGATAATAAAAATGATAGCAACAACAGTGATAATGATGATAATGATTACAATCATATTAATAATAATGGTAATGATAATAATGATAATGATAACAGTAATAATAATAATAATGATATAATAGTAATAATAGGGATAATGATAATAATAATGATAATAATGATAATAGTACTACTACTACTACTACTAATAATAATGATGATAATAATAATGATAATAATAATAATAATGATATTAATAATAATGATAGTAATGATAATGATAGTGTAATGATAATGTTCGGAAAGATGATAATAGTAATTATAATAATAATAATGATAGTGATGATAATTTTAATAATAATTGTAATTATGATAATAAAGATAATAATAATATTAATGATTATTATAATAATAGTAACAACAGCAGCAGCAACAATAATAACAACAATGATAATAATGATAATAATAATAATGATAATAATAATAATGATAATAATAATAGTAATAATGGTAATAATGACACTAATGATAATAATAAAGATATGGATAGTATAATGATAATGATAATGGTAATAATGATGAACAGTAATAACAATAGCAATTATGATAATGAGAATAGTAATAATAATGATAATGAGAATAGTAATAATATTGATAATGATAATATAATAATAATAATGATAATAATAATGATAACAATAATGATAATGATAATAATATAATATAATAAATAATAATAATGATAATAATAATAATATAATAATAATAATAATAATAATAATAATAATAATAATAATAATAATAATAATAATAATAATAATAATAATAATAATATAATAATAATAATAATAATAATAATAATAATAATAATAATAATAATAATAATAATAATAATAATAATAATAATAATAATAATAATAATAATAATAATAATAATGATAATAAATAATAATAATGATAATGATAATAATAATGATAATAATGATAATAATAATAATAATAATAATAATAATAATAATAATAGTAGTAGTAGTAGTAGTAGTAGTAGTAGTAGTAGTAGTAGTAGTAGTAGTAGTAGTAGTAGTAGTAATAATAATAATAATAATAATAATAATAATAATAATAATAATAATAATAATAATAATAATAGTAATAGTAATAATGATAATAAAGAAATAATGATAATGATTATAATATAATGATAATAGTAATATTGATAATGATGATAATAACTATAATGATAAGGCAACAGCAACAGTAGTATGAATAGACAATGACAATGATAGTGATTATCAATTTTGTTATTGTTATCATTCATCCCGCCATTATTATTCTTGTTAACAATATCATCATTTTCTCATCTTTGTTCACCATTATCATTTTAATTGTTATCGTCATTAACGATATTGATAATAACTATGGTGAACATTATCATCGTCGGTGTTATCAATATCAATACTGTTGTCATTATTGTTTGTGTTATCGTCATCAATACTTATCTTAATGTGTGATATCGATTAGCGCAGGTTAGTCACTAAGAGTATTGTAGTATATTTTATTCTAAATATATATTCCCTTATTTAGAAATGAATCCAGTTGATGAATCCACGAACGAATGCAAGGTAAACACATTTCTGGATTTATATACGTGTTTCAATAGATATTTTGGAAACTCTCAGAATATACTCAAAACGCAATTTTTTGAAAGGAAAAAAATAATTGATAATACATGAATATTTCAAAAACTAAAGATATAATTGTTATCTTCACTGTGAGCAAGAGTTTAATCCATTGTCCACGATAATACAAACCGGCATTATACTTGAAGCTTCTTCATGTCGGCCTCAAAATATTGCAAACTATTTGTCCAAGACTTTGCATAACAATGTTGCCTTTAGGTCAGACAAATATTCTGACTGCTGGATATATTGGCAAGATATGGTATCCGGTGGGAGAAGTAGCAGTGTCTCTTGGGGGAGTACAGAGTGTAAGGTGAGTGGAACTTGAGTTTTGCGTTATTCATTAACTGTTATGTATATCTACTTTGTTGTGTCTTATTTATCACAGTCATCTGCTTTTTATATTAATAGTGGAGTTGTATATACCTTGAATAATGTTAAATATTGATTCTTGAGGGAACAGTAAGTGATTTGCAATTTGTAACCTGTATATCGAAATTTGGGCAAATTTACTGCGGATAATTTTAAGCATTTTTGTGCAGGTTTTACTCATTTCTGTTCTCTATTCTTCTTTATTTCAGCCTGTTTTACCACATGGTTTTCCTTTTATACTCCCTTTCCTGATGTTGGAACTTAACACATTAAGATTGTCGGCTGTGATTGTTACGGAAATGATCCTCAGATTTGTTCTCATCATACGAGAATAAATCTGATGATGTAAATATTGTGTGGGAAGTCTTGATTGTCATAAACAATTAATTAACCAAAATTATTATGTGGAACCCCCCCAAACCCCCACATTTTTGGCCCTGAAATTGTGGAGGTGAAGTGTAAATGACATACACCGGTCTAGGGCTGTGGTTCCTATATCCCTCCAATGGGAGGTGCTGCCTCCAACCCCCGCCCAGGAAAACAAAGAATCCTCCACATATTCATGGCAGGAGGGAGCACATAACCGCCATGCGGGAGCGGTGTTGCCAAGTCTCTCCATGAATACATAGAGAATTCTTTGTTTTTCTGGGTGGGGGTTGGAGGTGGTAGCCCGTCATGGGGGGTCACAGGTGGCACAGCACCCTGCATTAGACAATATAGACTGATTCTATGTATGTTATTTACATTTTAACCAGCAATTTCCCTGGTACCTTTCATGCCCTCCCCAGCTATTGGCCCAAGAATTTGGGGGTTGGGGGAGCTTCTGCATAAATAAACCCACATATTTGTAGGTGAGAGGTGAGAGGAATTCAATGAAACTGAAATGTTTGCGATCCATTTTGCGGAAGTATTAGAAAAAATTACCTAAAGCGTTTTAAGCAGGGGAGCGCTTGGGCAAGAATTCTTGCCGATAGGCCAAGCACTGTACCGTTCCCTGCTTAAAAGGCTTTCCAAGGCAGGCAGGCCCTGTTCAGTGATGCCAGAAATGTAGACGTGTCTTTTTATAATGTACAAATCTTAACAATCCTTGATGAGCATAGAAATATCAAAATAACATACAAAATATACATACTTGGGTTTTAAAAGCAATATTCCCACCAACAGTCTCAGAAAGAGATGACTTATGCACAAGTTGAGGGTGGAGTTTATTTCACTGGTGGTCGGTAAGTTTGAGCGCGCAATTCAAAACAACTGACAAGCTAGCACCGCATCAAGATGGCAGAGTAAGTCTACCCAAACATCTTAACAAAGCGCAGTATTTTCTCCTATTTTCATATAAAGTGCCTCCAAAACAATGACACACACTTCCGATTTACAGCCCTTTCAATATATCCCTGAATATCCCTGAATTAAAATATAGGCCTACCCATTCCTATATATCCGATTTTATGAGGTTAAATATGGCAAATTATCAAATACAATATCAACAGAAGAATGTTGCTAGAATTTCTCACTTTTTTCTCTTGAAATATTCTTTATTTCATAGATTAGCAGATATATTCTCGATTTAGAGATGAGGAGTTTAACAATAGGAGCTAAATTGTTCGTCTTATAATAATTTATTATTTATAAGTAAAATGCGTTTTATTCCCATAATCTCCATTATTTCCTTTCGTTTTCAGTTAATTTCAATTTCTTTGAATATGATTTTAAGAAAATTACAGAATCAGATACAGTGAAAAAATTATTTATCTGATAAGATATTAAGCAGAGTTCCTGGTCAACGCCCGCATTCGAAGGATTATGACCAGTATGGTACGCGACTGACGCTGTTGCCATGGTGACGGTACACCGCTTGACTTAGCAAACGCAAGTCTAGCCATCTACGGAGGTCACTTGAAAAAGCAAGCGAAATGCTTGAGATAGCAAGAAAAACGCTTGAGATTTCAGGCAAGAACTTGCTATGCTTAAAACGCCTCTAAACTGAGACATTTTTCATATATGGCAAAAGGTGTGGAAATTGAAAATAAATGAGATACATGACAGAGAAGAGAGAAAATCTACCCATCTTTTTCCAAGTCCCTCACCATGTTGACATTGCAAAGGAAAACATTACTATGACTGCATAACTCGTTACTGCAAGCAGTTAACTAGTTCATGTATTACTACTAGCTTGTGAAAATGATTATTTTGTAATTTACAACATCTGCTTTTCCAAAGCCATGTATTTTATGTATTCCTTTATTTTTATTAAACTTGTTTAATGTTGTGATAGTTATATACGCTATTCTGTACAAAAACCTTGTGCGTGTTTTCACCACCGTGACTGTCAAGAGCTCACTTGCTATTTTCTGACAAAATAGTGGTGGGAAATATTCTGTTTTCAAAGTTGTGGTGATTCTGGGTCATTTCTAAAACAATGTAGTGCCTATGCAAAAGAAATAGACTTTAGTAACTACCACAGCCCCAAGTGCTCAAAAAAGTTATTAGAAACCAAGCAATCTAGATAATAGACAGAAGGGTAGGAAAGTTTGGTGTTTCAAGATATAAAGGTATTTGGTTTATTCTTCATGGTATAAGCACAGCTCTCTCTTACTGTACATACTGAGGTGAAGAGAATGTTCCCTGGGGGGAGGTGTTGGGTGTTGAGTTTTACCACAATATTTGATCATAGTGCTGCTCGACTATTCCGTACCTGCGGGCTTTGCTCCCAAGCCTCACCCTATCACTATATTTTGAATATGCCACTAATGACCTTAGACGCTGACATATGAAAATTTTCAGTAAATAAAATACATACAACCTATACATGTTTTCTAGGTGGAGAAAACCACGATGGTTGCCAACAGCAAAAAGCCGTCTCTTTACAATCCCAAAACGTCCAGTCATCCCAGTAGAAGAGACAAGGGAGATACAGCGGCTGTACAACAATTATCGAACTAGTTTACGAGCTGTGAGGTGAGTGCTTTTTCTTTGTAACACATCACTGGTAATTTGGATTTGTAGAAGTTGAGCTCCATCATCATTAGTTTTATCATTGTCACCACAATTACAGTCATCAATATCATCATTAATTATAATCATATATAATCATTACCATGATGATGATGATGCATCATCCTGATCCTGATCTTGGTCATCATCATCATAATAATAACTGCTACTCATTCATTCCTCTATTCTTCTTTGCCACAGTTGTCACTATTATCAACGGCATGAGCTTTACTCTCTTTTTAACATTAAAACAATGCCATGTCATTTGAACTCAACTCTCAATAAAAGTTTCACTATCCAGGCACCATTTAAGAGAAGAGTACCTTAGGACCAGTGCAACATCAGAGGTTGCATTACAGCAGGCTGCAGAGGAGGAGGCCGAGCATCAGCGCCTCATGGAATACAACCGCATGGAAAATGAAAGGATTGCAGCTTTGAGAGAGATTAGGTATGAAGTATCCATCGTTAATATTGTAGTTAATTGATGTACTATAATTTTTAAAAAACCAGATGTTGCTTAAGAAATGTCAACAACATCAAATGGCATGCTTTAAGGAAGAGATTTTCAAAATTCAACATTATTTCTAGGTTTGTTACTTATAAAGTTGGTTCAAAAGTTTCACAACCATCCTTAATTTATTGTTCAACAGGATAAAGAAAGAGCTGGAAGATGACCTGGCCCGTGTTGCTGCATCCAAACAGAAGCTTGCTGAGCAGGCAGCAATAAAACAAGAAGAAGCTTTACGAATTATCACAGAGA